TATACCCTACACTGTGTTAAGCAAGGGAGTACAATAGTGATCTAAGAGTAGATCACTGGACAGTGGTCAAAATTATCCTTAGTGGAATAAGGAAATATTTCTCAATTATGGAGGTGACAAAAAGGTTCATCGTAAAAAGTTACGTCGATGCAAGTTTTGACACAGATCTGGATGACTCTAAGTCTCGATCTAGATACATATTGAAAGTGGGAGCAATAAGCTAGAGTAGCTCCGTGCAGAGCATTGTTGACATAGAAATTCGCAAAATACTTACGGATCTGAATGTGACAGACCCGTTGACTAAAATTATCTCACAAGCAAAACATGATCACACCTTAGTACTCTTTGGGTGTTAATCACATAGTGATGTGAACTAGATTACTGACTCTAGTAAACCCTTTGGGTGTTGATCACATATCGATGTGAACTATGGGTGTTAATCACATGGTGATGTGAACTATTGCTGTTAAATCACATGACGATGTGAACTAGATTATTGACTCTAGTGCAAGTGGGAGACTGAAGGAAATATGCCCTAGAGGAAATAATAAAGTTATTATTTATTTCCTTATATCATGATAAATGTTTATTATTCATGCTAGAATTGTATTAACCGGAAACATAATACTTATGTGAATACATAGACAAACAAAGTGTCACTAGTATGCCTCTACTTGACTAGCTCGTTAATCGAAGATGGTTATGTTTCCTAACCATAAACAAAAGAGTTGTCATTTGATTAACGGGATCACATCATTAGTTGAATGATCTGATTGACATGACCCATTCCATTAGTTTAGCACCCGATCGTTTAGTATGTTGCTATTGCTTTCTTCATGACTTATACATGTTCCTATGACTATGAGATTATGCAACTCCCGTTTGCCGGAGGAACACTTTGTGTGCTACCAAACGTCACAACGTAACTGGGTGATTATAAAGGAGCTCTACAGGCGTCTCCAAAGGTACATGTTCGGTTGGCGTATTTCGAGATTAGGATTTGTCACTCCGATTGTCGGAGAGGTATCTCTGGGCCCTCTCGGTAATGCACATCACTAAAGCCTTGCAAGCATTGCAACTAATGAGTTAGTTGCGGGATGATGTATTACGGAACGAGTAAAGAGACTTGCCAGTAACGAGATTGAACTAGGTATTGAGATACCGACGATCGAATCTCGGGCAACTAACATACCGATGACAAAGGGAACAACGTATGTTGTTATGCGTCTGACCGATAAAGATCTTCGTAGAATATGTAGGAGCCAATATGGGCATCCAGGTCCCGCTATTGGTTATTGACCGGAGACGTGTCTCGGTCATGTCTACATTGTTCTCGAACCCGTAGGGTCCGCACGCTTAAGGTTTCGGTGACAGTTATATTATGAGTTTATGAGTTTTGATGTACCGAAGGAGTTCGGAGTCCCGGATGAGATCGGGGACATGACGAGGAGTCTCGAAATGGTCGAGACGTAAAGATCGATATATTGGACGACTATATTCGGACATCGGAAAGGTTCCGAGTGATTCGGATATTTTTCGGAGTACCGGGGAATGACGCGAATACAGGGAAGAGTATTGGGCCTTAATGGGCTTTAGTGGGAAGGAGCCAGGAGGTGGCGCGCGCCCCTCCCAAGCCCAGTCCGAATTGGACAAGGGGTTTGGGGCGCGGCCCCCCTCTCCCTTCCTTCTCCACTTCCATCCTTTCCCCCCTTCTCCTAGTTGGACTAGGAAAGAAGGAGTCCTACTCCCGGTGGGAGTAGGACTCCCCTTGGCGCGCCCTCCTCCTAGGGCCGGCCTCCTCCTCTCTTGCTCCTTTATATACGGGGGCAGGGGGACACCCTAGGACACACAAGTTGATCCACGTGATCATATTCTTAGCCGTGTGCGGTGCCCCCTTCCACCATAGTCCTCGATAATATTGTAGCGGTGCTTAGGCGAAGCCCTGCGACAGTAGTACATCAAGATCGTCACCACCCTGTCGTGCTGACGGAACTCTTCCCCGATACTTTGCTGGATCGGAGTCCGGGGATCGTCATCGAGTTGAACGTGTGCTAGAACTCGGAGGTGCCGTAGTTTCGGTGCTTGATCGGTCGGGCCGTGATGACGTACGACTATATCAACCAAGTTAACGCTTCCATTGTCGATCTACAAGGGTACGTAGATCACACTCTCCCCCTCTCGTTGCTATGCATCACCATGATCTTGCATGTGCGTAGGAAATTTTTTGAAATTACTACGAAACCCAACAGCGTTCTCATAGTGCAAAATCATATCCACCAGGGTCATTTCACAGTCTAGGTGGAGGTGAAGGCATGAGTTCAGGCTTTCACTCCGCTGGTTGCTTTTCATGCCAAGCCAAAACCCCTCAGTTAGATATGTCGCGGCCCACAGTCTCCTCTTCTTATACATCCGCCTCAACCATGTTACAGTTTTTTCCGACTGCCATCTTTTGGAAAATGTGTGCCATCTCTCCTCAAACGTTGCCGTGGACGTGTTATAGTACAGAAGAGTTCGGAACTCCTTCAAGGACTTGTGACTGAGGTGAATCTTCATATTTTTCTCTATGTTCCACGTACATATACGGTGCCACACGTCTGGCAAGACTTCGCGAATTGCCTTGATCATCCTAGCGTCGGCGTCTGTGATAACACTCTTAGGCATCTTTTGACACATGGACCTCAAAAAAGTATGCAGAAGCCACACGTATGTCTCCTCGGTCTCGTCCGAAACTATGGCACAACCAAAAACAGTGGTCTTCCGGTGATTGTTAAGACCAACAAAAGGTATGAATGGCATACCATAGCGGTTCATCTTGTACGTGTTGTCAAATACAAGCACGTCGCTGAAGTCCTCATAGTCATGACGAGACTGGGAGTCGCACCAGAACATCCTATTCAAATGTCCTTCCTTATCTAGCCTGTACTCGAAAAAGAAGTTAGGATCCCTCTGTTTCCTACTAGCCATGATGCCTATGGCTGTGGCAGCATCACCTTTTGAAAGTAGCTTCCTCTTCTCCTTGGCGCAAAGGTTGTATATTTCACGCCTGGTAAAACCAACACCGCTGTACCATACATGTTTGCTGATGAAGCAATCCATCATGTCGTGAATTATAATCCCTGCAGCTCCCATGGACATTATCTCATGCTTCTGGTACTCTTTGATTTTTCTGTGGGACCAAAGAAAAGGTACCTCGTCCGGTCCTGCCAACATATGGCTATGCTTGTCCTCAAAACTTTCAACATACCAAACCCCACGCTTTTGGTCAAGCTTGACGATCAGGTGCGCTTCGCAAAAGCAGCGTGTCTCGGCTCTGAGCCTACGGCTGTGTCCTTCCTCGGTTAGCAATTTGTTGTCACGTTTCCCTTGTCTTGAACAAACAAACCGCCTATAACACATATGACGTGACTCTGTTTTGCTATACCTGACCTTATTCTTTCTAATGATGAAACCATTATCTCTAGCATAGCTGTTGTAGAAATCATACGCAGCATCGTGAGACGTAAAGGTCATTTCCATTATCTGCATGAACATATCCCTCTTATCATCTGCACTGGCAGTATCTTGGACATTCTTTGCCCCATCATCTTGTGTCACCTACACAATCAAACCACAGCCATGCAAACAGATTTCTAAGGTTTAACATTACTTACTTCCATAGAACATTGATTACACACATACCTCACTCATGATGACCGACAACTCGAACTCCCCAGAACCAGGTGCATCTAATGATTCGTCGTTAAGGTCTGTCTCCGCGTCGGATTCACCGTAATAGTCGTACGCATTATGACATTCGGAAATGAACTGAAAAATACAACACACATACATAATTACTTATCATATAATATTCCAGAAGAAATTCAATTTGCATGCCAACAAATTTTTTCACTTACGTACCTGACTAATGTAATCTTCATTCGAGAGCTCCGAGTTGTTTTCCTGATCATCATCAAGATCATCGATCTATAAATTTTCAACACAAAGATTTAATGTTGTCGGATGCCACCAAAAAATTACAACATGACAATGCCACTCACATTAAGATCGTCCCATTCGTTCCCATTCTCTGACCGATCTTCACGATCTGAATTTTCATCATCTGACCAATCTTCTATCCAGTCTTTCATCAGTTCTCCAAACTCCATGTCTACCATGATATCAGTTAACTCCTCGTCCGCCATTTCCTACAACCAATATTATGTATCATCACATGTGCAAACATTATGAATGATGAAATATAAAACACATAGCACACGATCACGGATGTTATGTAAACAACCGCAACCGAGGCCGTTCAGATCTGCCCAACTTAGTAAGGAAGATGGCCACGGCACTCGTCGTGATCACTTTCAATCGCGAGGAACTGCACGATCTCAAAACCTAGCTTGATCTGTGATTACCTCTGGCGCCGGATACCTAGGTTAGCCGCCACATCAAATAACGATACCGGTGGTGCGCACAGCCGACGGCAACCGACGCTACGTGAACCCAGATCACGAGGAGCAGCACTACCGGAATAAGATCCACGATCGCATGCGCCGCCGGGTAGCTAGGTTACCCGCCCCGCTAGGTTAACCACTACCACTGGCGGCGGCAGTTCGTTCGATGTTGCCGCGAGCGAGACTAGAGGGGGGACGCGGGATGTGGTACCTGTGCGCGCTCGTTGGAGATTCACGACGTTGTCGCGCTCGCTGTCCGACGAGATCGCTGGCGACGAGATAGCCGCCACTGGAGATCTACTACGTGACTTATGGAGCTGCGTCAATGCTCGCGAGATTGATGGAGCTGCTCGCGTGAATGATTGGATTCGGCAGGTCTTACGTGGACGTGGGGTCGTGTGATGTTTTTTTTCGGACCAAGGTACTGTACGTATACGTTCTGGGTTATACAGGGCTAGACAGGGCTTGGATCTGGGCTGTGGCGGGCCAGGAAAAAAACAAATTCGCAGGGACAAAAATACCCCTCCGAAATTAGGTTAGGGGGGAGCACTGGAGCAGGGCTACGCGTTCCGGGACGGTGACTACCTTCTTCCGTACGAGTTCAACAGCCTCTGCCAGGACGTCGTGGGGATGCCGGTGCTCAGGTCGTCGCTGGGGGGAAGCAGGTGGATCTACCGCGTTTTCCGGGCTCTGTGGAGAGGCTTCGAACTGAGGTGGACGCGGGCGCTGGAAGGGAGGTGCAGAGACTGCGAGAACTCCGGTGGCCTCTGCGGCCACCTTGGCGAGGCGCCGGACCAGTTCACATGCTTTACGGCGCCTGCTGCCCCTGCCCCTGCACTGCTACTGAGCCTTTGAGCAATGAGCGTCGGAGAGACATATGCGTCGCGCTAGTTCTTAATTTACACCATCATATACTCACTCCGTATGAGCTACGATACTTGATTCGGTATAGTTTCTCACAAGTCACAATATATAAGTTGACTGAATTTGTAATTTTCTAATTTGGGTAAGTAAGTCTGTGTGAGGAGGAACGGTTGGAGAGGGAAGAAAGCTAGAGGTAGAAGAAAGAAGGTTGGCCGTTGGATCTTTAATCTAACGGCCGAGAAAATTGGCTTACCTATAATATATTTTCAAGCTTGCTTACATACAGCCGTTGTCGTGAAAAATCTCGCCCCCGCCGGCGCAAATCATCACCGATCTACCTAGCGCCTTTTCGAACCGCCGCCCAGCGGAAGCCTTGCAAACTCCGGAAGAGAACTCCGCAAGCACCAGGCCTCTGCAGTAGCAGTCCCCATGGCTGTCTGGCACTCTGGCTGCCCGCCGCCTCCAGCCCAAGTTGGCAACCGTGTCCAGATCCAACTTGATAACAAGAAGAGGCTGCAACTTTGAGTTGGGCACATGTGCTGCTCGACGCTTTTGGTCACCGCAGCACGAATGCACGGAAGCAGGCGGTTGATTGGTTTTTGGGGGACGAAGCTGTGTCAAACCAGTTGGTGTTGCACTTCCGGACGGTGAGCAGGGTGTCGCAGCCGCCGCACTGGAACGCCACCGCCCCATCATGTATCCAATTGCATCGTAGCCCCGTAGGAAGTAGCTCGGGCGCGCGTTCATGTTGGACGATCCGCGCGCGGTGCTCTCACGAGCTGGGCGCCGGGCTTGGCGAGGAGCAGCCGGGCCCGGGCGCGCCGGTGGGAAACATCGGGATTCAGGCGGAGGCTGTCTTCCCGCAGCGACGGCGTCCACCTTGCGCCTCACGGACCTCGGCCTTTGTGCCATGACCTCAGCAAGCGACGGTGTCGGGCGGCTGCGCCGGTCGCCGGTCCTGAGCCGGGAGCTTGTGGCAGGCAGTCGTGGACCGGACGGCGACGGTGTTGATGCTTTGCACAGGCGCCGCGTGCGCGCCAGCCTGGATCAGCAGCAGCAGCGCCGCCGCCGCTCATAGGGAGTAGACCATCCGCATGATTCCGCGGAGGAGCCGGTGGGCTCGCTACTCCGGCAGCGGCGGGCGGAGCCATGCAACACGCCAACACCAACGCAAAGAGGCGAGATGGTTCATAGCACAACGAATTTTGCCACATCAGCGGCGGGCGCTCCCAACCCAACGCACGTATCTTGACACAACCTCAGATGCACAAGAGAAAAGTCAAACGGCACTCAAGCGCAAGGTGAAAGTCCTGTGTGACCGCGGCGCGCGGAAAAGGGGCAGGTGGTGAAGCGGCGGGCGGCATCGGGATGGTGCTCGCGAACACCGGGCAGAGCGGCGAGGCAATCGTGGCGGACGACCGCTTGCTCCCCGCCGATGCCGGCGACGCCATAAGGAGGTACGTGGAGTCGGATGCCGGCGCGGAGGTGGCGCTAAGCTCTGCCACTGCCAGCACCACGTTCGACGTGCACCCGATGCCGGTGGTGGCCCCGTTTAGCTCCCGTGGGCCGAACAGCCCAGTGGCGTAGCTGCTCCTGCCGGATGTGGTCTTACCGAGGGTGAACATTTCGACTTGGTAGCACATCGACGGGCGCCGGCCGGCCACGTTCAACATCTTGTCAGGCGAGTGCACGCTCTGCTGCTGCACGAAAACGATACAGCTTGTAGTACAAAGTGACAGTTATTTTTAGCACATTGCACCGGGACACCTTTACAGCTAGCCGTAGAAGCCATGCAAGTGTTCTAGTACTACCGTCATCTCCGGATGTCGTGCATCACGTACCGTCAACTACCACTGCGAGCTTCCACCGCAAAAAAAGGGCGATTTGATTATTTGCCACCCTTTACTTTGGGCTTTGGTATTTTGCCACAGATTACATTGTAATTGATCAGATGCCACACCTTAGTTCGCACTTTGTTCTTTTGCCACTTGTGTACACAAAAATAATCTTCGCAAAGAAGAAATGACTTAAGTGCACAATGCAGCGGACACTTTTGCCCTTTTACCTGTTTGACTAAAACACACAGTCTGCTCCCTCAATCGGGATGAACTCTAGCCCGTGCTCACTCCTGACACAGCCGCCACCGCTGCCGTCGCCCTGCTGCTCCCCGGAGGCCCCTGCTGCCCCGCCACCACCTCTCCCTCTTGCTCCTCTTGCATCTCCTCGCCCCCCCTGGTGCTCACGGCGTCTCCACGAGCTGCTCTTGCCGGCCGCCGCTGCTCCCCGTCTCAACCTGCTGCTGCTCGAAAGACTAGTGGTGTTAAGCTTGTGAAGTAGTAGTTGTTAGTGTTGTTGCAAGAGATGTAATCAGATTGTAAGAGTTATGTAGTAATGTTTTTTCTTGGACAGTACTGTATGTACGCCATGATGCCAAACTTTGTCATTTGAGAGTGTTTTATCATATTGAAGTTGCTCTCCAACCATTGATCCAAATGAGCTGCAAATTTCCCAGAATATTTATTATTAGATTGTTAAATTTCTGTAATTTTTCGAATTTATTCTGATAACTTTCAAAATCTGGTCAAACTAGTTGATCTGAAACTTGAAATGCATGGAAACGTTGAACCTTTGATCGAAATAAGTTGAAAATTTCCCAGCATAGTTAGAATTTCATTGTTGAATTTCTGTAAATTTTAGAATATTTTTCAAGGACTTTCAAAATTTGGTCAAAATTTACAACTGAAAAATTGAATTTGAATTTCCTCCAAAATGTCTCATCCAAATGAGCTCAAATTATACCAGAATAGTCACATGTATATGGTGTTTTTATGGAATTATTTCAATTTTTCTGGGTTGTTAAAAAAATGTTCAAAATTTGGGCAGCATTTTGGCCCAATTTGGACATCATTTTGTTTGTTTTTCTGACTTTTCACAAAAAATTATACACATATGATCCAAAATATAACATATCTTTTGAGATGAACATATTCATGTACCATCACACAAATTGAACACAATATAGCATAAAACTGATATTTCACATTTTCATACATCATCTAATATAAGGCTATGATGTTGCACAAATTAGTAGGGGCTGCCAAGTCTGACATATTACAACCGAAAGCATAGAGAACATAGAAGATGATGCACAACACTAGATCTTCCTTCTCTTCGGGGTCAACTTCCTAGCTTTCGAGGTTGAGGTTGGGGTAGGTTGCTGCGATGCCTCATCAGCCAATGCCATAGCCAACATCCTCCATGTGTTGAGAAATATAAGATTTGGAAGAAAAAAAATTAACATTACAAAGAACAATTGATGTGTTTACCTTCTAGTCACAACATACTACTAGATCATGATTGGCGCGCGTTGCTGCACCCGTCTATTATTACAATAGAATGGTAGAACTTTTCATCAATATATAGATAACAAAATGTGAAAAGCATAAATGAGGGCTCCTGTTGTAGTGGGAAAAAAATGAGGTGAGAACATATAGAAGGATCATTTGACATTTGCATCATGTGGTGCCCACTCATACTGAGAGAAGATGGTAGGTTAAGATTGAAATAAAAATGTAAATAACTCAAATACGATGCCTCGATAAATGACTGGGCGGATTCTATTTTACAAGCTTGAACATTCTTAAGAAGTGCTAAAATGAACGTATATGGGAGTGAGAGGTCAAATACAGCTTTTAATACCAACACCATGAAAGAATCCTTCACTTTGTCAACTTTCGATACTAAAAAAGGAGAACGGATAAAACCTTTGATTATGGTAAACCGCACATGTTTTCAACAGATAGGCTAGTAATTTGGAGCAGAGAGAGCCTTGGCTCAGTGGTTGGGTATGTGGTTGTGCAACCCAACGACCCGAGTTCAATTCCCAGAATTGACAGGTGATGCACAGGGGTTTTCCCCAGTTTATTGAGGATCAAGCTTGATGTGTGGTGGAACCACTCATCAAGAAATATCTTGATACTCATTTAAAAAATTCTGAGGACCATGTTTATCTTGGTACTCATACTAAAATGGCCGTATGCATCCTTAGT